GAACAAAAAAAAGCGTTGCCTTGTTTGGGAATAGGGAGATTGGTTTTAATTTTGGGAGAGGTTTAAAGTTTCCGTGGGTTTTTTTCTGAGTGGCTGAAGCGGAGAAAGCCCGCGCCGAATTATTGGCTGGGGCCAAAGGATGGTCCCTTCCTGCAAGACATTTGACAAGTCCCTATGCATGATCTTGAGGGGGGAGTTTATATAGATGTCCAATATTCGTAGAAACGCACAAAACTGGAAATGCAGGGAACGGTGCATGTTGGCAAAAAGGGAAAGCGTGGATTTCATCTGCAAAAGTTCAGTGAATTCTGTAGGTCTTTAGTTATTATTCGCCTCTTTCTCCTTGTATTTTGTCGACATGCTGGTAAATTACACGGTTTACCTGGGAAATATTTTTAGGCACCCGCTCTCAGAAATGGTGGCCGCCATCGCTTGCTAATGACCTCACCCTGTATTCCTGCTTTTTCATCTAATATTGGGAGAAAGGGGGTGCAAGAGTGGATTGTGCCAGACTGAACTCACTGGGGTGGGAGACCTTGAAAAGCAGTTCACTCGTATCTCAAATTACAAAAGATTAAGTGGGAAGACCTAGTTTTAAATGCTGCTATTGTACTTTTTCCCCACTGGGAAATTAAATGAAAGCTAAGGGGAGAAAAAAAACTCAACAAGGCAAGAATACTTAATACCTGTATACTGTATCAGAAAACGTGAAAGAGCACTTTTTAAGATAATGTGGTGGCTCTTAAAAGAGCCTTTGTGTTGCTGTTTCAATGTAGGAGCCCCTACTTTCATATCAGGGTACTTAAGCCCTCTCGCCGCGGATGCGCCTGGCCAGCTGGATGTCCTTGGGCATGATGGTGACCCTTTTGGCGTGGATGGCGCAGAGGTTGGTGTCCTCGAAGAGCCCCACGAGGTAAGCCTCGCTGGCCTCCTGCAAGGCCATGACGGCGGAGCTCTGGAAGCGCAGGTCGGACTTGAAGTCCTGGGCGATCTCCCTCACGAGGCGCTGAAAAGGCAGCTTTCGGATCAGGAGCTCGGTGGACTTCTGGTAGCGCCGGATCTCCCTCAAGGCGACGGTCCCGGGGCGGTAGCGGTGGGGCTTCTTGACGCCGCCGGTGGCCGGAGCACTCTTGCGGGCAGCCTTGGTGGCCAGCTGTTTGCGGGGCGCCTTCCCGCCAGTGGACTTGCGAGCTGTCTGCTTGGTGCGAGCCATTCCTCAACCTCAGGCAGTCAGACGAAAATGAAGACGCGGTGCCCGGCCACTGGCCTTTTATAGAGAATTCTCGCAGTCCTGATTGGCTGAAGACTGTGAGGCGGCCGTTTGAATGTCCTGCGCTGAAAAGCCATTGGTTAGATCAGAAAGGTTTTTTGTCTAGTGCAAAGGGGCGGAGCAGCAGCTCGTTGTTGTCGGGCTCTCTGATTGGATAGTATTTGATAGAACGCTGTTGATTGGACAATTCAACCAGTATTGCCGTGCCGCGGAAGCTTTCCCTCTATAGTACCGTATGTACAGTGCTGTAGTTCCAAAAAAAAAGCGCGCGCTGATTTTTATTATCTGTGCACCAGTTGATAAACCGATCAAGGTGTCTCTTGGTCGGTAGGTGGCAAAAGCTTGAGTAAAGGGAGTACTGTAGTGTATAGTATTAAGAAGCCTCAGAAAGTGCTTCGTAATACTGGGGGTATTACTAACTTTATTATCCGTTCTCTGGTTAAGATGTGAAGTCTCTAGTGGCGGATTTTGGTGCTATGATTTATACCGAATACGTGAATAAAAAGACTGCCGCGGACGTCGCCCACACTGCAGATTTCGGTGGCTCATTCTCAACACAAACCCCAGCAGTAGAAGCTCAGAATCCATTTTTTAAGGACCGACCCCCTTTTCAATAATAAGAGCGACTTTGATCCTAGTTTTACAAGAGTAAGCCGTGTTTGTGCAAAAACAGTTTTGTTTTAAACGTCTTTAATTCTAGTTGAGACCCACTTCAGGTGACAATAAGCTATAGCAGTTTTCTTGCCCGGACCCAAACGCCGGTGTTGGATAAAAGCTGTTCCAGAGAGGCAAAGCCTACCGACCTGTTACATCTGAGGCGGGTTCACCAACCTAGAAAACACAAACCCGGTTTCATTGAAGGGTTTTCCAGGGAAGTTAATTTCTGCGTTGTAGTGGTGCAACGCAGATTGAATGGAGACGAAGCAGATCTACCGGGTGTGTGTGGTGGAAACGGACCCTTCTGCTTTGTTGATGGGTCAGTATTACGTGGGCAACCCGGGTTCAGGTCCACTCTTGCCCCTGGAAAGACTTTGTGGTGGAGCGTGGTTTTAAAAGGGCAGGCATGCAGAATAAAGTGAATCGGCTCTTTTGGGGACAGTTTGGGCGGCTCTGAAAAGAGCCTTTTGGGTTTCGCAGAGAAGGAATTGCCAGTTGCTTTGTGGCTTTATTTCGCCTTCACTTTGTGGCTCTCGGTCTTCTTGGGCAGCAGGACGGCCTGGATGTTGGGCAGGACCCCTCCCTGGGCGATGGTGACTATCCCCAGCAGCTTGTTGAGCTCCTCGTCGTTGCGGATGGCGAGCTGGAGGTGTCGGGGGATGATGCGGGTCTTCTTGTTGTCCCGGGCGGCGTTGCCGGCCAGCTCGAGGATCTCGGCCGTCAGGTACTCGAGGACGGCGGCCAGGTAGACGGGGGCCCCGGCGCCCACCCGCTCGGCGTAGTTGCCCTTCCGCAGCAGGCGGTGGACGCGACCCACCGGGAACTGCAGGCCGGCCCGGGAGGAGCGCGTCTTGGCCTTCGCCCTGGCTTTGCCGCCTTGCTTCCCGCGTCCAGACATCGCACAAGAGATTAGCACCGCAGAGAGTACACCAAAAAGTCTCAGAGGGAAAACCCAAGTACCGCTCCCCGCGCTGGCTGCTATTTATTTAGTCGGGAAGATCCTAGTTGCTAGCTCTGATTGGCTGATGGGAAGCGAGTGCGCGTATGGTCCCCCTAAGAGTGCGACTCTCTTCCAGCCAACCAGGGGACGACGTTGGAATTAGCCAATAGAGCGATAGGCTGTTCTGTATTCTCCAATAAAAATGTGATGAATCACGGATATGAATTTGCATGGGTCTTTCAGAAACAGCTTCGCTTCGTTGATTCATTAAAAAAAAGCCATACCACCTTTTATAAGCTTATCGGCGGAAAAGAAGGAAAAAAGCCCAAAAAATAATTGATGTAAAGGTAGCTAAATGTAAAGCAATGCCTGTTGGCGTTTCCTTTCTTGGTGCAACTGCAAACTGTGCATTTAGAACGTGGTTCGGCACGGATCCTTTGCACGTTTATCCCAGGACAAAAATTTAAAATGGCTTGAAAATTTCAGGAAGCATGCTTTATTTGTAAGCATAGCGATTTCAGTGCAGTTCAGTCTAGGTGACTCAGGAATCTCCTCCAGCACCGCAAGTCAAAAGCATCAATTCTTCAGCGGTCAGCCTTCTTTCTTTCTTTCTTTCTTTCTTTCTTTCTTTCTTTCTTTCTTTCTTTCTTTCTTTCTTTCTTTCTTTCTTTCTTTCTTTCTTTCTTTCTTTCTTTCTTTCTTTCTTTCTTTTTCTTATTAGATTTTAGACAATCTAATCTAGACAAAGTCTACTTCTTTAGGGTCCAGCTCTCACTTCCATACATCGCTACTGGAAAAACTATAGCTTTGACTATGAGGACCTTTGTCGGCAAGGTGATGTATCTGCTTTTTTCCCCCCAGTGCATAGTTACCTTTATCCTGGGTCCGGGACTATTAACGTGGAATAAAAGCCATTATATGGCTGGGTGAGAGTCGGGAGCTAGTTAGAGAACTACCGGTGCTTAATAACCTGGAAGTATAGTCCACTGATATTATTGCCCATTGAAATCAGGGCTGAAACCTATGCAGCGAGAGGGGATTTCGGCCATTCTTCCCCCCAGTGCATAGTTACCTTTATCCTGGGTCCGGGACTATTAACGTGGAATAAAAGCCATTATATGGCTGGGTGAGAGTCGGGAGCTAGTTAGAGAACTACCGGTGCTTAATAACCTGGAAGTATAGTCCACTGATATTATTGCCCATTGAAATCAGGGCTGAAACCTATGCAGCGAGAGGGGATTTCGGCCATTCTTCAGGGTAATAGTGCTCCAGTATTTCTCATAAGCTTGTCGCAGAAAGTGGAGGAATATTAAGAAAATACAGTAATTGGTTAAAATGAGACAACACGCTTCCTTAATCGTTTATGACTGTCTTTCCCAACATCTGAAGCACTTCCTGTCTCCATTCAGAATTAATTTTTAGAAGGTACAGCGTATTTCGAAAAATAAACTCGGTTACATCATCCGACGAACTTCAAGCGCCGAGTCTTCCGGTCCAATGACAGATTAGAATCATTTTTTAAAAAAAGCCTCCTCCAATCATAGGCAACCTTGTGGACCAATAGCTACTGGAAAGGGCGGTACTTAGAAAAGGCGAGACCGAACGGCGGCTCAGGTTTCCCTCTAGTCGGACCCTCCTGTATAAAAGGCCTTTCAAAAGGCGAAGCGGGTTATTTTGCGTTTGGAGGCGAGACAGAGCGGTGGGGGATCTTGAGCCGAAATGTCCGGACGTGGAAAGGGAGGCAAGGGGCTTGGTAAAGGGGGCGCTAAGAGGCACCGGAAAGTGTTGCGGGACAACATCCAAGGGATCACCAAGCCGGCCATCCGCCGCTTGGCTCGCCGAGGGGGCGTCAAGCGCATTTCGGGGCTCATCTACGAGGAAACCCGGGGGGTCCTGAAGGTCTTCCTGGAGAACGTGATCCGCGATGCCGTCACTTACACCGAGCTCGCGAAAAGGAAGACCGTCACCGCCATGGACGTCGTCTACGCCTTGAAACGCCAGGGACGGACCCTTTACGGCTTCGGCGGTTAAGGCATTTCTCTACCTTTGCTGCTAAAGACAAAACGGCCCTTTTAAGGGCCACCCATCTTTTCATGAGCAGAGCTGGTTGTTACTGTCAAAACTTTTCATGCTGTTTAACCATTTGTATTTTGTTTTTGTAATCGCCAACTAAATGCAAGATTTATGGTTTAGCCATGTTTATTGGTTTTGGTATGTGCAGGGTTTTGAGGGCTCCCCGCTGTGCCTCCTTCACAAAGGCTGGACTCGATGATCCATCCGGTCCTTTCCCTGAGATGATTAAAACTTATACTGTGGCTCCTTAAACCCCCTTCCTAGTTAGTTACAGTATTAGATTTTACTGAAATGTGCTGTGGTGCAGAGCGCATATTAATACCACTAAACCCTGAATCGCCTCCCGAGAACCACGATTGTTGTGGGTTTTCGAACTTTAGGAAGAACAATACCGCCGTGTTCTTAAGGTTGCTTGATCTTCCTAAAGTTCGAAAACTCAACCTATCTTATTCCAGATTCTCAGGAGGGGATTCAGGGTTTAGTGGCATTAATCCTTGGAGAATACATCAAATTAAGATACTCTGCCTCACTTACAACTCAGCTTCGTTGGCAATGCTACAGACTGGCTTGGGCAAGTGTTATCAGAACTCTCTTTAGGAAATGGTGTGCGGCTCTGAAAAGAGCCTTTGGGGTTTGCAAACGCTTCAGCCCACCGGCGGAAGGCGAGGATGAACTCTTTACTTCGCCTTCACTTTGTGGGTCTCGGTCTTCTTGGGCAGCACCTCCCTGGGCGATGGTGACTTTCCCCAGCAGCTTGTTGAGCTCCTCGTCGTTGCGGATGGCTAGCTGGAGGTGTCGGGGGATGATGCGGGTCTTCTTGTTGTCCCGGGCGGCGTTGCCGGCCAGCTCGAGGATCTCGGCCGTCAGGTACTCGAGGACGGCGGCCAGGTAGACGGGGGCCCCGGCGCCCACCCGCTCGGCGTAGTTGCCCTTCCGCAGCAGGCGGTGGACGCGACCCACCGGGAACTGCAGGCCGGCCCGGGAGGAGCGGGTCTTGGCCTTCGCCCTCGCTTTGCCGCCTTGCTTCCCGCGTCCAGACATTTCGGCTTCAGAGGCAAAACCAGCAACACAACAGGAAAGTGAGAGAAGAATGAATGAGAAGCCTTCTCGACCCGTCGCCCTTTATTTGCCCGTTCGGATCCTAGTAGACAATTTTGATTGGAGGAGCGCGAAACCCATCCTCCAATCACAGACGAAACTGGAACTCTGGCCAATCAGAAAAGGCATCCGGAAACGAACCGATAAGCCTAGAATAGTTATTAGTCTTGCACATGTTAACATAATTTTTTGAAAAAGAAAAACCCACACTAACGCGTCGCCCTTTATTTGCCCGTTCGGATCCTAGTAGACAATTTTGATTGGAGGAGCGCGAAACCCATCCTCCAATCACAGACGAAACTGGAACTCTGGCCAATCAGAAAAGGCATCCGGAAACGAACCGATAAGCCTAGAATAGTTATTAGTCTTGCACATGTTAACATAATTTTTTGAAAAAGAAAAACCCACACTAACGTCTATAGTTATTGCCTCTTTCTCTGAGCGACTTAGAAATGACGTTAAAAAGCCAAGATAGATACAGACGCATTAAACTGAAATATTAAGTCTTTATATAAGCTTTAATTAAAATAGCCACTGATTTTAAATATTTTAAAGCAATTGAGAAAACATCATAGAAAACTGTAAAAATGCTCTATTTGTCATTAAAAACCACTTTCGAGTGGCCCATTCAGTTTCTAAAAAGCTGATTACTTAAACTAGCCTATAAGATGCAGATATGGGTGAACACTTTATAGATACCAAGCTGAGTAGATTTTTGTGAAAAGGTCGTTTGAATGGGTTCAAAAGAAGGAAGACGGAAATACCCTGGAATTACTCGATGCTGATGTCATGGTCCTTGTTTTCCCACTACAGAAGAGTTTTATGGCATTTTAAACATCAATGAGATTTTTCATAAGCTTTCCTAAACCAGACTTTAATAGATACAATTTGCAGCTACTGAATAGGGAGGAGCCACGCAACAACAATCATCATTTTACAACTGCAGAGCTGGAAAGGGACCCTCTGGATCACCAAGACCAGCTCCTGTCAAGGGAGTGTTATCCCTGTTTTTTTGAGGTTTTAGAGAATTTAAGCTAATCTCCAGCAGAGGATGGGACACGGAACGAGCCAGCTGTGATGCAACACAATTTTATTAAGGAAAATACACCAATACAGATAACTGGCGCTCCTCTCAAAAAGAAAGAGAAAGCCCCCCAAAATACATTGACTAGATACATATATACTGTTTACAGATAAAGAGTCATAAGCCCCAAAACAGTGATCGGGCTTAATCTGTGACACATTTGGGTTCTTGCTACAACTGGTCTTCGGTTCTGGTGATTTATTGGCTCCTGGGTGGGATGGGGGATGATGGAGACACACCCACCCTCTTGTCATCCTTCGGTTCTCCAGACATCCAGGCACCCCAGATGTGTGTCATCCTAGCCCTTGCCATCTATATGTTGATGTTGCTCTCCAGGAGATCTGTTGTGTTGTTTGCACCCCTGTGAATTGGCCCCTTCACACCTCCCCTGCAACATCCTCCAACATCCCGATGTGGCTGGCGGTCGAGATCGAGCGCGGCCCGATCTACAATAAAAGAATGTTTAAAGATGATGCTGCAGGAGAGGTTGGGCACCCCCACCCACCCCCACCCGTGTTCGGGGATCACAACTCCCAGAAGCCCCGACCCCTTCCTTCGCTTTCCTCCTCTAGAACATCTGGGAGTTGTTCTCCGAGAACATCTGGGACACACACACACACACACACACAGAGAGAGAGAGAGAGAGAGAGAGAGCTAGCTCCGGTGGCCTAGAGAGGGACTCCGATCTTCCGCCGTCTCTCCCACGACTGGGAAATCCCCCCCCAAGGATGCCTGTTAATTAGGCACGGCCAATTAGGGCAAAGAGGCGGTTTCCGGCATGGTCCGGTATTTTTCCTTGCCTTGCAATATCCCGGGGTGACCGCCGGGTTAGAAGCTCTCTTGCACCTCTCCTTTGCAAGGCTGTGTGTGTGTGTTCGGGGGGAACAGCTGGTGTCACCGCCCGGGTGTGCGCGCGCGCGCACGTGTGTGTGTGTTTGGGGGGGGGACAGCTGATCTCCCCGCCCACGTGGCCCTCCGAGGCTTCTCCCCTCCCCTCCCCTCCCCTCCCCTCCTTCGGCTGGGGAGTTTTGCTGGCTGGCTTTCAAAACTTCCCCTCCTGTCCTTGCTTTCCTTCCTTTTTCGCGCTGGAAGCCCTGGGCTGCCCTGCCCGAGAGAGGCCAGCCTTCCTCCTCAGAAGCAGAGCTGCCTTCCCTTCCTGCCGGGGAAGGAGCCACCCTGGCTGGGGGGACTTCCCAAGACTGCTGAAGGAGAGCTTCTAAGCGGGCAAGAGCCAGAGATCCAACCCTGGCCAGGAGGGCTTCAGGAGGACACGGTGTCCAGCCAGGGGGTTTCCTCCCTGGGCAGAGCTCTTGAAGGCCTGAGCAGCATCTTCTGAGGAGGCAACCTCCAGCTTTTCTTCCTCCCCCCAGAAGGGACGCTCCTTTGCCTTCCCCTGGCTGAGACCCCACCAGCCCTTCTGAGGACCACCGATGGAGCGCTGCTTTGGATCCAGGAAATGGCAAGCTCGGTGGGTCAAGGTGATGAGCAGAGCAGAGACCTTGGAGGAGCTGGAACGGCGGATCCAAGAATTCACCGACGAACTGTCCCCTGAGGCCCCACCCGCTCCTTGGAGGCCCCAGTGGCGCAGGCGTCCACCCCCGGTTGGTTCTGCCACAGCTGCTCGGCGGATCCGGCGCTTGTATTACAGAGACAAAGCCAGAGCTCTAAGAGAAATCTGCGAGGGACCCTCCCCGTCCTGCGAAATCCCCCTGGAGGACCTCCGCCACCACTTCCAGGAGGCCTTCGAGAGGAAGGATGGAGGTTCTGCTGAGCTGCGTCCGAGGGACCTCTCCCCGCTTCCCAAGGTTGAAACCCACCTCGGCCTGCAGGAGCTGTGCCAGGAGTTCACCCCGGAAGAGGTGAAGGAGAGGGTCAGCAAAGTCCGAACAAAGAAAGGAAGGAAGGAGAGGATTTCTCCCCAACGGCTGAGACAAGCTGACCCCGGTGGTCACATCCTGGCAGCCATCTTCAACGGGTGCCGGCGGTTTGGCCTCATCCCCTCGGCCTGGAAGAAATCGACAACTATCCTCCATTACAAGAAGGGGGACCCCGATGACCCCAGGAACTGGAGGCCCTTGTTCCTGTGCAACTCTCTGTACAAGATGTACGCCAGGTGCCTTGCCCGCCGCATCAGTCAATGGGCAAGGCAAGGCCAGGTCATCAGCCCTCAGCAGAAGGCCTGCACATCCTCTTGTGAGGGCCAGCTCCAGCACGCTTTTCTACTGCAATCCGTGCTTGACATTGCCTGGCACCAGAGGACGGAGTGCGCGGTGGCCACGTTGGACCTGGCTAATGCCTTTGGCTCCGTTTCCCAGCGGTACATCTTCCAAACACTCTCCGAGCTAGGCATGCCCCCAAACTTCGTGACCTTGATCCGTGGACTATACCGTGGATGCACCACCGTGGTGCGCACGCCCAACGGGGAAACGGAAGAGATCCCCTTCCAGAGGGGTTTGAGGCAGGGGTGCCCGCTGAGTCCGTTCATCTTCAACCTGGCCATGGAGCCCCTCATCCGGTACATTGCCAGTGGCCCAGGAGGCTTTCCTTTGGACCGGGAGGTGGTGAATGTTCTGGCTTTTGTGGATGACCTCGTGTTGATCGCTGAGAATGACATCATGCTCCAGAAGATGCTCGACAGAGCCTCTGCCGCGGCCAACTGGATGGGCCTGAGCTTCAAGGCCAGCAAGTGTACCACGCTGCACATCTACAACCGGCGCCTGCACCCTTCGACGTTCACTGTCCAGGGAAGGGGCATCGCCCCTCTCCGGAGAGGTGGAACTTTCACGTACCTGGGGACACCCATGTGCGCGCCTAACGAAAG